ATACTAAGGATATATGCACGTAGTTTCATGTTACAATTTGAAGTCATTCTAGAAAGAAAAAAGGATAATTTAGGTTTATTTTGATTTTTTTTGGTGGTTAAAATGTCGGTTGAATTGACCAATTTCGTTTTGAGATAGGGTAGAGATATAGCAGATAAACTATAGTTTTACTGAAAAAAAAAACGTTTGAAATACATTTAGGAGATTTTATGGATTAAACACAATAAATTTGAGCTTTTAGAAATGAGGAATGATATTTTCCTAAACTGAAAATGTATTTCCAAACATACTTACCTCCACAGACACTAATAAGTAATAGCTATTTCTTGATCTTCATCTTTGCCATCTATGTTGTGTTCGCTTGCTCCAGTCTTCATATACCCCACCCGACTGCCCTCGGTAATATTTTAACTTGCAAAACTTTACGTCAGCCCTCACACGCCCTCTATGCAGGTACTGTATATAAGCACTGTATGCAGACAATAAAATCAGTTTTTCGAGACTTACCACATTCCAGTCACTGGGGAGGAAGGTAGGGAGAGTGTCAGCAGAGGTAAGTATTTTTGGAAATACATTTTCAGTTTAGGAAAATGATAACTTCCAAAACATACATACCTCCACTGACACTAATAGCTAGAATTCCACACTGAGAAGGCAGAGGGGCTGGTGAGGACAGAAATCATACAGAAAGCATCTTCAGAGAACAAATATGTACCACGAGAAGTGGTATCAAAGTGAAGAACACCGCACTACATCCAGAACAGGTCTGCTCTTCACCCAGACCTACATAAAATTGAAAAAGGTGGAATACCATACAAGTACGATGGTCCAGCCCCAACCAAACAGCTGAGGTTCCACAACTCGGGTTGGATTTAAGGGGTCATGGTACCTATGTCACACAGTGGTGGCCAGGGGAGTTGGACTGTAGATATATACATCTGTGTGATAGGATCCCTACCAGTAACCACAGAATGATGCATTTCAAAACAACTGGATTTATGAAAGAAAGAAAGCAACACCAAAATGGTAAAGGTCTGGATTGATCAACGAAATATATATCTAGATAACAAAACAAAGAATTCCCGATTATTAGAAAGTGAAAATCACAAAACGTTAGTCTGAATGCTCATGCTTTGTCGAGAAAAAGTGATTTATTGTCTGCATACAGTGCTTACATACAGTACCTGCAAAGAGGGCGTGATGGCGGGAGTAAAGTTTTACAAATTAGATATTGCCGAGGGCAGTCGAGTGATGTATATAAAGACTGGAGCAAGTGAACACATTGTTAGATCGAGAAATAGCTATTAGTGATTAGTGTCAGCAGAGGTATGTATGTATGTTTGGAAAGTATTTATTATTTTAACATAAACATTACTTTGTACATGGACTATTCAAAACAAATGCTCAATATATTCTTAAACAAATCTTTATTTTAATTTATTATAATACTTCACTAAAAAATATGATTTTTTGTTTATAAAAAACTTATAATATTACTGAAAAACTGGCAAATTTTGTGAAGATATACACACTATACTGAAAGTTAGAAATATTATATCTATAAAGACTTTAAATGAATATAAAGAGGTCACGTGTTCAGACAAATTGACCAAGCCTGTGTTGAGAGAGTTAATATCACTACTTTCAGCTTTTAATTTGTACGAAACTACTAATTTGAACCAGTGCTACAATCACAACATACCACATGACACACAAAAATCAAAGTTTAGGCGTGTTTTTTAATATTTACTTTTAAATAATCTACAGTTTGATACCAAACTTATTGAAATTACTTCATAAAATAGTAGTTCAATAAAATTTCGATTGCAAGTCAACAAACATGATGACATGGCCTTTGACCCGTGTGGAAAGGGTTAAGCTTTGAAATTTTACAACTTTATAAAACTCCCACAAAAATTACCTTTTTTTTTACTAAATTATTCCAAAGCACTCATTTGGATAAAAAAAAAACAAATAAGAACTAATCATTTTATCAGAAAGAGCAATAACAAATTACTAATTAGTATAACCTCTTTATTTTCAAGCAAATATCAGAAAATATTTTTTCACTATGCTGAAGCATGCATAAAACTTTTATCTTATTACAAAATGATTTTAACAATGTGTGTAGGGAGAAAAAATATTCATAAATGTAAAATAATAGGTGGTGGTAAGAAATTACACTTAATCATCTACAAAACTAAAACTTGTTCAGCAGAACCCACCAAATTTAAAACAAATGAAATTAATAACATAAAGTTGATTTAAGGTCAAATGTAATTATAATAACATAAAAATAAATACACACACAAAACTAAAAACTGAAGTTGCCAAATTAGACTTCTCAAAAAATCATAAAATTCAGAATTCCTTTGAGCTTATGAAGACATAAGTGAAGTACTAAATCTTAACACAATTACATGGGAAAGTTCAAGGAAAGTTTAGGAAACTTTTAAGAGAATAATTAAGTACCTCACCATGTATGTAAAAATTTTGTTCTGAGAATGTGGAAATAAAATATATTTAACTTTAGCAAAATACTGATCTCTGGTTATATGTGATCTCTGCTTTGTATACAGATCATTCTTTTCAAAGGGCTTTGTAGAGTATGATTATTCACAAAAAACAACATACATAAACATGCTGAAGCACAGTTTTCACATCTTACACTCATTTTGTAATTCCTGGCACATTTTGCACACCAGTTATACAAGTGATATAGCAATTAAACTATTTACATTTTTAAAATTAACAGAATAACTTTACTACTCACAAACACCTATATTCAAAAAAGAAAGTAAATTTATTTCTATTTTAGCATTCACATTTGAAACCAGACATATCATTTTAAACAATCAGCATGACAGTTCTTTCTGTTCATCAGTACACCTGGAGTTTTATAAAGAGGCTGAAAAATACTTAAATCATAATTCAAAAATCCTTAGACCTTATAAATACTTGATTATGATAAGAGACAATAACTTTATCCTAAATTGAGCCATGATATTGAACACTGAAAAACTAATGAATCAACATAACAGTTACAAGGTATTTTAATTATTTTACCACACAATCACAAATTTCAAGACAATGAGGTTCTTTGATAATGAATTTTAAGTCTTTGTTGTTGTTTTTTTGTTATTATGGTGCAAATAGAAAAAACGCTATTATAGCCCCTGCTGATGATTCAATGAATTTGTTTTCATATTGTAATTTCCAATTTTATACGTTTCCCATTAGAATAACTAAATAATTCTAGCTGAATAAGCAATTTACCTTTGTAGGATCTTCATAAAGCATTATTACCACTTGTGTTATGTAGTTCAGTTCTGAAACAGCACTAACATATTCCATTGCCCGATGCCATTGTTCATCCTTTTCATTCTGAGATCCCCACAAAAAATGGTGTAAAATATCAAGTTAGTATGTAACACTTTAAATATTTATATACAAATATCATCAACCATGTTATAAATATAGATATTTTGTACATGGAGTATAGTATGCATGTCACAACCATTATATATAGTTACACTCAAAATTTAATTTTATTATCAATTTTATACTAAGTTAGTTTCTTCATTTCAAATGCAAATATTCAAATAAATTTTCAATCTTTACTACTCTGTGTCACAAAGCATCTGTCACTCTGATTTCTTTCTCCATTTTAGATATTTTTTGTCCCTTTTATGGCATTCTGAGTGTTCAACCAATTGGAAACAAAAACTATTGAAACTGACTGACAAACAAAAAAGTAATAATGTCCTACCTTTTCAATTGGCTGAGAAATAAATAAATTTGTGAAACCTAAAGCAAGCTCCTCCCATCTTATTACAGATTTAGTGTAGTTTCTAATCCATATAGTACATATTAAGTGTACATTTATAACCAACAGAAAAAGTTGCTAATTAATGTATTGCCTTCTTACATTCACTTGTTTAGTTCTCGAGGTGAGATTCAGCAGTTTTCAAAGAAAAAAACAAGTTTAAGTGTATGAAGTAAAGGCACTGCTCTGAAGAGTAATGAAATTCTTTAACCTATTTATAGCTTAATTAGAAAGCCAGGTAAGTATAGTAGTTTTCAAACATTCTACTTATATACCTGATAGATTTTTGTGTTAAAAAAATATACTTGAAATCTACACAAATTATTTTTTAGACATTCAACATAGTGATAAAAAATATGCTTACTTAATTATGAACCTCAGTGCAAAAGGCATTAAGGCTAGATTAAGTGCTAAATGTCTTGTTTTTATGTATAATTTCTATTTATTGTTATATATATATTTTAACAAAAGTACTAAATGTAACAATTAAAAACTTATTAGGTTAGATAACAAAACTAAATTGAAAAAAAATTAAATTTCTCGTGATACTTGATATCCTAGCTCAAGAAAATCCCACACACATATCATGGAGTGATTGTAGCTTGAGTGTTTACACTAAGCTGTCCTGCTGTGATATACTGGTTTTTAGGAGCTGTTAAGATGGTTTAAAGTACACTGTAAAACTAAAAGAAAAGCAGATGGGAAAAGATTAGAGGCTGTTACAACCTGCAGCCATTGTATAAAAAAAAGTACTTTCAATTATATTTCATATTTTTACATTTTCATTTCACTGGCAAAATGAGCTTTTGATATTCATTTAGGAGATTCTAGAGGTTATGCATATGAAATATGAAAACTGTAAGATGAAGGGAAGTATTTTTATTCTTAATATGAAAATCATCTTTCACTGATTCAGTAAATGCTTTGTAAATTCAGAGATAAATCTTTAGGAATAATACTTTATTATAAACTCTGATTTTTGTATGTACAAAAGACTTGTAATGTTTACTAAAAACTTGCCAAATTTTGTAAAAATACACTTTGTACATAATGTTCAACCTAACATTTAAAAATATGAAAAAAAATAGTCCAACTCAAGAAATCTTTTTAATTTTTTTTGTAAAATTCACCTGACAATCAAAGAACAGACAATTTGATGGAGAGAATGCTAGTTAAAAAAACTATGATGGACAGAAAGTAAACAAGCTATACACTAATTTGAGTGGTAACTCAGAACTGAGAAGAATTATGCAAATGAAACATTAAACTTTTCTTGTTCTAAGAAATCTCTAAGTACCTAACTCATGTACGTTATCAGTTACTTAACTACAGCTATATTTGATTACTAAAGTATTTAATACATGGCTAAGTGACATATCCATGAATGGTATCATTAGTTAATCTACATTTCTTGGAAGTACATCAAGAACCAAGTTACACAAAATGTATCAACAAACAAATATTTCCATCCCTTATTTGCATTCTTGTCATATTTTTCAAATGCACAATCATAGGAATAAGTATCTAAAAACAGACTTATGTTATTTCACTATCCCAATGTGTTTACCACACAACTGATTGGCAACACACAGTTTTTGTACTTAGCTCTAATTACTTTTGAAACCATCTGCACCACCCAAAGAAGCTTTTGATCCTGGTTCAAAAGTATATTGGAATTTTTCCACCTACAGCCAAATTATTTACTGGTTTGTTAACTTTTAACAATTTAAATTTTCCTAAACATACAAAAGTTGTCCTAAATTAAAATTTTGAGAGGATTTTACACATGGGGACAGTCACACATTTCATCCTTGCCAATTACGAAAAAACTAGAAATAGTAAAACTTTTTTTTTATGAAGAAATCTGAAATACTGAGCAGATATGGAGCGATGATAAGCACATACGAGCCTAAAATTTTACTGTGTTTCAGATGGTCAAATATTGCTTAAGAAGAAAAATCTTGACATTTTGTTGTCAAAAATACAGAGGCTCTCAGAATAATTATCAAAGAATATCTTCTTATATCTTTAATATTGGTTAATTAAAATACAACTCTTATTATAGATATTATATTATTATGCTTAAAACTTTATATGTAATACATGTTATGTATCTATATATCTAAACTATATTTTCTAAAATAACTTTTAAAACTACAAGTATTTTAATATATAATCTAAATACTGTTATTTTCTATTCAACTATATTTGTAGAGGTTTTTCTTTCTGTGTATTAAAAGTAGGCTCCCTCCTTAAACAAAATCTTGGCTGCATGCATTATAGCAAGTTCATAAAAGTTGCAAAAAAAAAATGTTGATTGCTCATTTTACTATGTTGATCAGAACGTACTAGACATGGTCAAATAATAGTCTAACACCACAAAACATTGTTAAGCCAACCTATTTACATGAACAACACCCATTTCTTTAGGACCAGCTTAAGAAAATGTATTAATCATTTTAATGTGTCCTTTCTAAACTTTCGTCTGCATCAACAACTTCTCACGTAAAACTTACTGTGTTAATTATTTTAAGTTTTTTCTCAAGATGATGATGATGGAAATAAAAAAAAAATATTTTGAAATGTTGTTTATCAAATTATGTTGTTGTATTGCTGTGTTTTAATATCTTTCATAATACTTTGATTTCAACCTTATGAATCATTTCAATCTCTGCAAAGGGTCATAAAGTATCATCACAAGTTTCCTTGCCAAATAGTAAATGCTGTATTTTCTTTGTTTCTCTAGAATATGAATGAATTTGTTCTAAATGAATTATATATTATCTATCACACACTGTGACAATAATGTTTAATAGTTTTATCACATGAAATCTAAGGACAATTATTTCTAACTGTGAATCAGTTTATTTAGTAATAGTATACTAAAGCCAGATATATCAGTTTGCTGTAACAAAGCTATACCCTTTTCTTTAACAACAATGATTTTTAATGAAGAATTAGTTTTAGTGAAATATATCTCAGTTTTCTTAAACAATTCTACACTCTTACTATAACTTAATGACTTTGATTGATTATACAATACATTTACTGTACTAAGAAGCATTTTTAAAGGGCATGTACAATAAAACCTAAGAATGGTAGGTTTAGTATTTTTCTGATTTATGATCAATGACCCAAATAATATTTATTTAATCAACAAAAATTCAGTAGTTTTAGTGTATCAGTAATGTAAAAAAAAAAGATCTCTAGAGAGAAAGACAGTTAAGAAAACATTTTAATCATATTTTCAGCTTATTACAGGTTTCATGTTACATTATGTATCAGATCATCAAGAAATTAATGTCGTGTTTTGGAACACTTTCATTAACCACCACCCAAAAAACGTACATCAAGTATAATAGTTAACGAACCACCTAAACGTCATGTTAGTGTAGTCTGTATAATGTGTAAAGTTTAGTATACTCAAATCCCTTATAGTGATGGCACACAATGAGACATACAATCGGCATGTAATACTGTTTGAATACAAGAACGGAAACAATGCCTCTGTAGCCACAAAGAATATCAAAGAAGTTTATGGAAATGTTTTGAATGTTCATAAGTGTCAACGATGGTTAAACAAATTTCGTTCAAATGACTTTAGCCTTAAAAACTATGATGATAGGGGCCGACATGTTGGAATTGATAGTGATGCTCTGAAGACACTTGTTAAGTCTAACCCAAGGCAACACACTCGTGAAACGGCCTTGAAATTGCATGTCTCTCACGAAACAACACGTAAACATCTAAGGAATATGGGAAAATTCCATAAAGAAGGTGTTTGGGTGCCTCACGAACTCTCCAATGATCACTGTTTCCAACATGTGAATGTTGCTTCGTCTCTTCTGCCTCATTATGCGTGTGAACCATTTTTGGACAGAATTGTCACCAGTGATAAAAAGAGATTCTCTATACAAATATTAAGTGCCAAAAACAATGGGTCAGACCTAGACAAAAACAAATTCCGACCTCAAAACCTGGACTCCATCCGCAGAAAGTGATGCTTTGCATTTGGTGGGACATCAAAGGATTAATTCATTTTCAACTCCTCAATCCACAGCGAACTGTCAATGCAGAGATCTACAGTCAGCAATTGGAACATTTAAATCAAACCCTTCATCAGAAATGCCCTTCACATGTCAATTGGAAAAGTGTTCTTCTTCTCCACAACAATGCACATTCACATGTGGCACGTTTGATGCAACACAAGATTATAGAGTTGGGTTGGGGAGAACTTCCCAGCCCATCATATTCTCCAGATATGGAACCATCAGATAACCATCTTTTTCGTTCGCTGGAACCCCATGTAGATGGGAAAAAGTATGCTAATGTGGAAGGTTTTAATAAGGACATTGACATGTTTTTTGCTTCAAAGCCAAGTGATTTCTTTAATCCGGGCATTAACAACCAGATTTTAAGATGGAAAA